GAGTATAGCATACCAATTTTCTTGAACTAGCTCCTGACATAATTCTGCATGGGCTTTCCTGTGGAGAAGGATGTGTTCAAATGGGAATGGGACATTTGTTGCACCCATAATGAATATCCTTGAGTTGCTCTGAGTGAGTTGTTTCTAAAGGTTTCCTCACCTGCTTTTACTATCTCCTCTCAAATCCGACACCACTAATAATGATCGCTTAAAAAAACAAATCTGATTTTAAAAATTCTTCTAACTGGGGATTTTTTTACTTTGTAGAAATTTTTGATGTTTGTTGTGCTCTATATTTATTAAAGATCGAGTCTCAAAACTGTAATGAGCAAAAAATGCTTGCTTAATTTAAATTGTGAATCTGTCTGTTAAGAAATGCATTAGGGGTAGGAGAAGCATAAGACATATTAATTGACAGACAGGAACTGCTGTCTCTGAGGTTGATACAAGTAATTTATTACTTTAGAAATGAATGCCACCTCCAGAATGTGCTTCATTAATTTCAAATTTAGTTTTAATTTCAAGCTGTTGCCCCTTGAGAAGAATAAGGTGGCAAATTATGTTTGAAGAGCAGATTTTTTTTTCTTGCTCTGAAGAAACACTAAATTTTAACTGTTTAATTTTACAAATAAGTACACTTGTTTGGCTAAAGCACTTAAGCAAAAGTCTGATGAGCAGAAACTAACTGATATTTTCTTCTCTTCATAATAGCCTATGTTTCAGACGAACTAAAAGCAGCAGCACTGGTGGAAGAAGATGTGGAACCTGACGAAAGTGCAGTTGATGGGGAGCCTTCAGCAAAATATGCATGTCCAGAAAAAGACTTCAGTAAGAACTGCCAAAGCTACCAAAACTCTCCAGCAGCTGAATTTTCTAGCCATGAAATGGACAGTGAGTCCCACATCAGTGAGACGAGTGACCGCATGGCGGACTTCGAGAGCAGCTCCATCAAAAATGAGGAAGAGAGCAAGGAGGTTTCGATACCACTGGAAGACTCTACTGTATCTGATAGTTTAGAACAAATGAAAGCTGTATATAATAACTTCCTCTCCAATTCCTACTGGTCCAATCTCAATTTGAACCTTCACCAGCCAATTTCAGAAAAGAACAATGGCAGCAGCAGCAGTAGCAGCAGCAGCAGCAGCAGTTGTGGAAGTGGCAGCTTTGACTGGCACCAGACTGCTATGGCTAAAACGCTGCAGCAAGTTTCTCAGAGCAGAATTCTTCCTGAGCCGAGTCTTTTTAGCACAGTTCAGTTGTACAGACAAAGCAGTAAGCTTTATGGCTCTATATTTACTGGAGCCAGTAAATTCCGCTGTAAAGACTGCAGTGCTGCCTACGATACTTTAGTAGAATTAACAGTGCACATGAATGAAACAGGACATTATCGAGATGACAACCATGAAACGGATAACAATAACCCCAAAAGATGGTCGAAACCTCGTAAACGTTCTTTGCTTGAAATGGAAGGGAAAGAAGATGCCCAGAAAGTGTTAAAGTGTATGTACTGTGGTCATTCATTTGAATCTCTTCAGGATTTGAGTGTTCATATGATCAAAACAAAACACTACCAAAAAGTGCCTCTGAAGGAACCTGTTACACCTGTAGCAGCAAAAATTATCCCAGCTACTAGAAAGAAAGCATCACTGGAGCTTGAACTTCCAAGTTCTCCAGACTCCACAGGTGGGACGCCAAAAGCAACAATCTCAGATACTAATGATGCACTTCAAAAGAATTCTAATCCTTACATTACCCCAAATAACCGCTATGGTCACCAGAATGGTGCCAGCTATGCCTGGCACTTCGAGGCCAGAAAGTCTCAAATTCTGAAGTGCATGGAGTGTGGAAGTTCACACGACACTCTGCAGGAGCTCACGGCTCACATGATGGTGACGGGACATTTTATCAAAGTCACTAACTCTGCCATGAAAAAAGGGAAGCCAATTATAGAAGCCCCAGCGACACCAACAATAACATCCTTAGTAGATGAGAAAGTCCAGTCTGTGCCACTAGCTGCCACCACTTTTACGTCTCCTTCCAATACACCTTCTAGTGTTTCCCCTAAATTAAACGTTGAGATTAAAAAAGAAGTAGATAAAGAAAGAGTCGTTGCTGATGAGAAAATGAAAGACAAAGAGAAGTCAAGTGAAGATGAGGAGAAGTATGACATCTCCTCGAAATACCATTACTTGACTGAAAATGACCTAGAAGAAAGCCCTAAGGGGGGATTAGATATATTGAAGTCTTTAGAAAACACAGTTACATCAGCTATAAACAAAGCCCAGAATGGCACACCAAGCTGGGGTGGCTACCCCAGCATTCATGCAGCCTACCAGCTGCCTAATATGATGAAGCTGTCATTGGGTTCATCTGGGAAGAGTACACCACTAAAACCCATGTTTGGAAACAATGAACTAGTATCACCAAGTAAAAACCAGCCCTTGGTGTCTCCACCCAGCAGTCAGACCTCACCTGTGCCAAAAACAAACTTTCATGCCATGGAAGAACTGGTAAAGAAGGTCACTGAGAAGGTGGCTAAAGTGGAGGAGAAAATGAAAGAGCCCGAAGGAAAGCTTTCTCCACTGAAGTGTGCGACACCTTCGCCATGCAGTAGTGAAGTCAGTGAGCCCCTTAAGATGGAGTCCTCCAATGACGGTGGCTTTAAAAGCCAGCAGAACAGCCCAGTTCCTCAGAGAGATGGTTGCAAGGATAGTCCAACTGTAGAACCTGTGGAAAATGGGAAAGAGCCTGTTAAGTCCCTCGTAGGTTCTTTAAGTAGCAGCACAGCTATCATTACTGATCACCCTCCCGAACAGCCGTTTGTAAACCCATTAAGTGCATTGCAGTCTGTCATGAATATTCACCTTGGCAAGGCAGCAAAGCCATCTTTGCCCGCTTTGGATCCAATGAGCATGCTTTTTAAAATGAGCAACAGTTTGGCAGAAAAGGCTGCGGTGGCCACCCCACCTCTACAGTCCAAAAAATCAGACCACTTAGACCGTTATTTTTATCATGTCAACAATGACCAACCCATAGATTTGACGAAAGGCAAGAGTGACAAAAGCTGCTCTTTGGGTTCAGCGCTTTTGTCATCCACATCGACATCTTCTGCATCTTCTTCATCTACAGTGACAACAGCAAAGACATCTGCAGTCGTGTCATTCATGTCAAACTCGCCGCTACGCGAGAATGCCTTGTCAGATATATCTGATATGCTGAAGAACCTGACAGAAAGTCACACATCAAAATCTTCCACACCTTCCAGCATATCTGAGAAATCTGACATTGATGGTACCACAATAGAGGAACCAGAAGAGAGTACACCAGCTCAGAAAAGGAAGGGACGTCAGTCTAACTGGAACCCTCAGCACTTGCTCATATTGCAGGCCCAGTTTGCAGCCAGTTTACGGCAGACCTCAGAGGGGAAATACATCATGTCAGACTTGAGCCCTCAAGAAAGAATGCACATTTCTAGGTTTACGGGACTTTCAATGACCACAATTAGCCACTGGCTGGCCAATGTGAAATACCAGCTCCGAAGGACGGGGGGAACTAAGTTCCTTAAAAATTTGGACACTGGGCACCCAGTGTTCTTTTGTAATGACTGTGCTTCACAGATCAGAACTCCTTCAACTTATATCAGTCATCTTGAATCGCATCTGGGTTTCAGGTTAAGAGACTTGTCCAAACTGTCCAGTGAACAGATTAACAATCAGATAGCACAAGCAAAGTCACCGTCTGAAAAACTGGTGACGTCCTCTCCAGAGGAAGATATTGGAACTTCTTATCAGTGCAAACTTTGTAACAGGACTTTTGCAAGCAAGCATGCTGTTAAACTTCATCTTAGTAAAACACACGGGAAGTCACCAGAGGATCATCTTCTGTATGTTTCGGAGTTAGAGAAGCAGTAGCATTTGCTTTTGATTAAAATAACTGTAATTTGCTTTGAGGAAAACTGTCAAAGACGCCTTAAAGCTACTGTTTAGTTCTTGGCACATGTTCTTATTTTAACTCCAGAGTCGCTCTGGGCTGAACTGTTTTTGTATAACTGTACAGTGTTTAAATAGAGGTGCATAATCAGCTGTTGTTACTGGTAAAATATGAAGGTTAAAATGCAGTGGTAAGTGTTTGGAACTTTGTGTAAATTGGATTTAGTTGCTGTGCATCCCTCTGATGCATCAAGCTGCATGCATTAACAGACAGTTTAATTAAGCATTTATAACTAATTCTGGTGCACTTTTTTCATGTGACCTAAGTGTGCTGGTATTTCTCACCCTATAATCTTTAGCCCTCTGAGTACTTTGAAGCACTTTTGCATTAATTTGGTAAAAAAGGTCTGGATATGGTTTTTTTTAAACCCTTACCAGCTTAGTTCCGATTACTAATATGAACCTCCATTTATGCAGAGGTGTCTCACACCTTGAAATTTAAAAATATGATTTTTCACATTGAAACATAGATGTATATATTGTATAGATTTCAAAATCTCTTATGGAAAAAGTGATTGTGGTTAATGCCATTTTCTTTTTCTTCAGCATTTTTAGCAGCAGTGGCGTTTGTACCTGATAAGCCCCAGGTATAAACCAGACCTATATATAGTGTATATGTCTTTTCTTTTTTTTAGCTCTAATGTTTGTTTTTTTTCTTTACCATCCAAACATTGTAAATTATATGATAAAAGATACCACAGATAGCATTTATAAAGTATTCAGAAACGTTATTCTTAAAGCAAAGTATGTTTTGTTTTGTTTTGCTATACAGTACATCTATATGAAGAGAGGTTCATGTTTAAATTATACATATTTATTAGTGTCACTATCATTTGTTTGTTTCCTGTTTGTTTTCTTTTTAAAACCGTCTGAAGAAACAGAAGCCACGGACTGCATTCCTGGCATGCATTCTAACTGTTTTGCACAACATGACTTTTAAAGGTATTTATTAAAAAAAAAAAATAAAAAGAAAAAAAAAATAAAAAGAGAAAATTCAAACTAAACTCAGTGCTCAAAGGGTTAAATCTATTTGAAAAACTTGTACTGTATTTCCTAAACATTGATAAAGCCTTTAAAATGTTTGTACTGTAATACTTTGCTTAAAAAAGTTATGAGGCATTCTGTGATATAACCTCTTTTACTTATTTATAAGCGCTCTTGGTTGTTATTTCCTATTGTAGAATGCCTTTTTATTTCAATTGGTAACTTTCTGTTTTGTTCTGCCTAATTATTCTCCCAAGATTCCATACTGCAGCTTTATCTTTAGGCATATGAAAGGTAACCCGTGGTTACCAGCACACTAAGTGATTCTGTTCGTCTCCATTTTTGGCAGTTAATTTGCAGAAGTAACTGACAGCTGACACCATATGAGAATCTATGTATAAAATATTGGCATGTAAACAGCACAGACACTGTAATGCACTCTGTGCCCTGTTTTGTTGTTGACAATGAAGCACCATTATATGACTCTTCATATAACCTTTTTTTCTACAGCAGCATTAAAATTGTCTTTTTGCTATAATTTTGTGTTGCGTTCACAATTATGTCTGAAATGTGCTACGACTAACGAGCACATTAAAATTAAATTGTATGCTATCTGTTTATGACTGGAGCTTGAGTAGGTTTCTTCATCTGCCAGGTGCTGGCAGTCAAAAGCTGCACATAAATCACTGGAGTTTTAGTGAACTTTAGCATTTAAAGAGCAGGGTAGCACTTATTCAAAGGCTGCATTAACAGAATTTCTTTCCCGCAGAAAAGATAAACGAGACTTAGAACTCCTTTCTAAACATCAGGTAAGGCTGCCTGCGAGCAGGGGGTTTATCAGCTGTGTGTGGCAAAGCAAAGAGATGTTTTGCTGTGTGTTCAGGCTGAGCAGACACTGCTGCTCACCCCAAACGATCGAGCAGAGTCTCCACTGGTGGGTGTTTCATGGCTTAGAGAATCCCTTTCCAGCTCCCCAGCAGGAACCCCAGAGCGGTGACTGCAGCGTTGTGGTTTTGGAGTGAGTCCTCTTAAGGCCCTACCTGGACAGCATTGACAGCAGGTAGAGAGGGGGAAAGAAGAGGAATAAACACATGCCAAAGAAACTCAAACAGAGCGGGAGGATTTATATGATAATGACAGACTTTTACTGGTGTTGACAGGTCATCCCATCAAAACCATTGACAACAATTTGCATCTCCAAACATCTCTATTACTATGCATGTAAGTAATGTCTTTTGCCAGTCAGGTGAACTCAGAGTCTGGAGATGGTTACATGGGAACCAAAACCACCATTAGAGCACTTAAGAATCAGGAGTAAAACCTACCATCCCAACGTCAAATGTACAGTTTCCTTCCCTGTTTTTTTAAAGAAAAAATCCGCTGTCTTCCAGTAAGCAACTAATTAAATCTTTGGGTCTTTTTGTCTTTCCATCTTATGTTCTGTCTTTCTGTCTTTCCATCTTTCTCTGTAGCTGTGAAGGCCAGTGCCATGTCTGAAAAATGTGTTGGGAGTGTCCTGCTCATTCTCCAGTGAATACTGCTAAGCAGACCTAGTGAATTGGGGCTGGGGCTTTGGGTTTTTCCCTCCTCTTTTGTGTGTCAATGTTTATGGCCTCAACTCGAATTCCAGCAATAAAATTGCAGCGCACCGTTCAGGAAAGATACTGAAGTGCCAGAGAAGAGCAACGAGGCTGGTGAAGGGACTGGAGCATCAGTGCCATGAGGAGAGGCTGAGGGAGCTGGGGGTGTTCAGCCTGGAGAAGAGGAGGCTCAGGGGAGACCTTATCACCCTCTGCAACTCCCTGACAGGAGGTTGGAGTCAGGTGGGGGTTGGTCTCTTCTCCCAGGCAACAGCAGCAGGACAAGAGGGCACAGACTTAAGCTCTGCCAGGGGAGGGTTAGGTTGGAGATTAGGAAGAGATTTTTTAGGGAGAGAGTGCTCAGGCATTGGAATGTGCTGCCCAGGGAGGTGGTGGATTCCCCATCCCTGGAGGTTTTCAAGCTGAGACTGGATGTGGCACTTAGTGCCATGGGCTAGTGACCACGGTAGGGTTGAACTCAGTGATCTTGGAGGTCTCTTCCAGCCTGGTTGATTCCATAATTCTATGACTCTATGACTATACCATCCCAGGAGTTGCCCTCATTTAGTGAGGAGAGGCAACCTGGCTGGCTCAAGTCTTTCATGAAACCTCCCAGGTGCCCGTCCACCTTTTTTTTACAAAGAGATGATCTCAGTCTAAACACAGCCAAACTTTCTACCTCTACAGCAGAGAATTCCTCCTTTGAAAATTATAACAGCTTAAATATAGTATTTGGTTGCAAACCAGAAATTCACACATAAGGAGACTGGCAGATTATTGCATATATTGTCAATCAATGTATTTTTAAGATGCACCATTGACTTATAATAGTAATGCTAAAAGCTCTGTACGCAATCCTGTTATCTGGGACACGGGAGGGAGTAAAAGCAGAGACTGCAGAGTCTTCTGCAGTGTTCCTTCTCCTTCCTCTTAAAATACAGGCAAGGGGTCAATGATTGCAAACACCAAATGCCATTGATGCAACTGCCCAAATCTGGGAAGAGTCAGTTCCTGGGCCTGACTTACCTCAGACTGAATGTGCAGTGAGGAGATGAACCAGGTACAAATTCAGGGAGCAACCATATCTATTAGTGTGCACCAGAAAGGCCTTTTTTAACATGTTCTTAAAGATACACTCGAAACTTTGCAAATGAATGGCTAGTCAGGATCTGCATATCCCAAATTTATTAAACTAAAGTTCAGCTTGCATTTCAGAACCTCCAGGACTGGCATACCAATGTGATTTCACATTATAAAGAATTTAGAGAATCAATGAACTAGAATAATGTTCTTTTCATCCATACACTGATATGTATATTGGCATGGTAACTATTAGTGCTAACCAAATCACCAACCTAGCTATGTTAAGGTAATTTTTTTTCTTCTCTATTAGATGAACATGAAGGTATGAGTGCAGGATTTGAAAATATGCATCTGAGTTCTGATTTTTGCTTTGCATTTGATATTTTATTTAGAAACATGCAGATCAAGTGCAAGAGAAAACAAAATGCCTCAAGAAAGAGTTTGAAAATGAAATTGTGATGGGGTGGGAAGAGCTTTAAATCACAGGTGTATAAAGGTGACCCTGGTCTAACCCCACCCAAGTAGTGGCTTGTTGCAGCACACTGTATATCTTCCAGCCATCACATTTACGCAGTATCTTAAAATAACATTTGTGATAAATGTGCAATTTAACTAATTTATGGTGCTATGATGTGCTCAGGGCTACATGCAAGATGAAAATCTTAAATGGAGCTTGAACAGCTCACTTCACAACAAGAAATCAATATGCCAGATCTTAGCTGTTCACTGGAGTCAACACTTACCAACAAAAAAAAAATTCAGAGAATGTATCTTTAAGTTTCAGTGAGGAAGGAATCTATAATTAACTGAAATATGACTTTTAAGCTAATGTAAGGAACTGTTTTGGAAACCAAAATCTTTCTAGAATCTTTGTTAGGTTTTATTTTTGTATTAAAACTGAAAGTACATTGGTTTAATTATGCAGTTGCTTTTGTGGTGAACGATATGTGCAATTTTTTTTTAGCCAACCCAAGGCAGATCGGTGTTCTCAATGTGGGAATTATCTGTTGCATTTAAATATGGCTATGTATCGTGCTATATAAAGCTAAACATGATATGACTCTGCATATTATGACAGCAAAAAAAAAATTGGCTATACTCTGATATTTAAAAAATACTGGCATGTATTGAAGGGAAGAACCTCCTTTAATTTTGCAAGTTCTTATTTCAGCTGCAAGAGAAGAAAAGGAACCGTGTGCAAGTGGAACAGAAATGGCTGATTATAAAGCTAAATTTAATTAATGAATTTTGCATTTTGAAATACGCCTCCAGAGAACCTTATATATTTCCTAGGAAAATATCAAATTATTGCAGTCATTGCTGCCTGCTTTGTTTGGGTAACTTTTCTTGACAAGAGTATTTTGGAGCTTTGCTCTGTAACCTCTTATCCACACTGCTCCACAGGGCTGAAATACAGGGAATGCTCCTAAAACTAGAATTTATCAAGCAAAGTAGAAAAAAAATAAAATTTCAAGATTACTCAGCTTTTAAAAACTCACTGGATTGTCCTGTTAGTCAAGGATAAAATAGTTGTTACTACTTGACTGGACAGTTACTGTTTCAGCAGTGGAAATACAAATGTGTAACTCCCTTGAGGATCACTAGTAAGTACATACAATCTCCAGGAAAAAAACTCCAGTAAATTCCCTTCTCCTGGGACTCTGTGCCAAGATGTGCCTTCCAGCCCTTGCTTGACCTGCTGCAGGTAAATGAGAGAACCAGAAATAATTATCATACTGCCATCTCAGGATATGAAAGTGGCTCTGTTGGTTGGGGTGTGGTAGCAGTGAATTTTGTTGAGTTTTTAGCAATTATCCTGTAATAATGAAAAGCTTGTATACGTTGAAGACTATGAGATTACAGCCCTCATTGTAGAGTATTTGCATAAGAAGTCAATCTTTTAGCAGGGAAGGAAGCAAGAATCAGGGTCATTTACAGGAGGGAGCAGAATTATGTATTAACGCATCATTATACATGTCTGAAAGCACTGGAATAATCGGTGAGGTTACAATCTGTTCTCAGGCCTTGGTTTGGGGCAATAATTTTAACTAAATGTTCAGCATGAAAAAGATGACTAAGATTTACTAACACGTAGCTCGTGCTGTGTTCATTATCTAGTGCATGCACAAATGCAGCAGTGGTGTTACATAAATTCATTTTTTATGTGTAAAAACAATCTTCCTTTATCCTTAATATCCAGCTGAGGTGTTAGGGTAGTGGTTTGTTTGTTTGGTTTTCATCTGTGTATTACAACACATACATGGGACACATTAACTTGCTCAGCAGCTGTTGCTTGGTTCACTTGGCCTTATTTATAGCTTGAAATGCACTTCTGGTTAAATAATCTTCTAAGAGAATTAAAATCAGATAGACTTTTTGGGAGAGATGGATATGTCCAGACCACTCATCAAGTTCACATATATAACCTTCATTGAAATGAAGATCTGCAACTGCAAATCATGCTTACTTCTATAGCACTGTGCCTACTTTTCATTGTAGGAGTGCTTAAAAAGGAAAATTAAAAATTACAACCCAAGGCAGCTACGCCAAAAAGAGGGACTTTTTGAGTAATAATAAAACAAGACATTTTCTGTAGATCATGCTTTTAAAATTCTAAGCCTGTTTCAAGAAATTAAAAAAAAAGGTTGTGGTAAAGCAAGAAAAAGAAGGAAAAATGGCAGGGCCAGCCCCAGCCCCATTCCCAGCCAGGGGCTGGGGTGGGTGCTGGAGCTCACAGCTCATGGTGGTGTCTTCCATACCGAAGCCAAACTGATGCTGTGCCCCCCGTGGCACCCACTGGGTGTTCCCAGTGTCACATCAGGGTGAAGACTCTGCGTTTCTTCCCCCATACACTTAAATTCTGCA